AACAGAGTTGTTATCACTTGTAAAAGAAAGCTTCTAGCTATTTTATACCATAGAACTTGTTGCCCAAAGTATCACAGGCCAATATGTTGGTTCAATGAAATGTAGGAATTTGCACGTTATTATGAAAAACTAAGGGTGTTTAGGAATAAATAACTAACCTTTGTAGTTTTATTTCTGCAAATAAGTGCCGTCATGATAGTGCCAAAGAAAAGAAATAAAAGAAAAGGAAACCATGAGTTTACCATGCTCACGTTTTACTGTAAAACTAAACACACCTATAAAGGTAACCTATATAGATTCTTTTGAAATGGTTTGCTTTGTCTTATTCATATATGTGGTGTTTAGCTGTTTATTCTACAGTACCATTATTAACTCCCTTAAGAAGGCAGCTTTTAAAATCCGAAGGTAGTTATAAGAACAGGGACAACAGAGAGAAAACCTGCACAGATGCTAATCACTTTGGTCTTTTGAATAACTAGGTGTGGAGAATTTAAGGGAGTTAGTTTAGATATTATTACTCCTGAAACCTAGTGTAGACATGTTAATATGCAATTTGACATTAAAAATATACCAGCTAATAATAAAATTAAAAAAAAAATAACTTTATGACCAAAGTCATAAAAATGATGCAAGGAAAAACACTGGCTAGGAGAATAAACAAAGCAATTGATTAGACATTTAACGTTACGTCACATCTATACTAATGTAGAATTCTTAGTCAATAAAACTCTCCTTCAAAATCAAATTGAATAAAAACCTTTTCAAGTAAGTGAAAACTGACAGAATTAACCACCAGCAGATGCTCACAAAAAGAATACAAAAGGATTTTCTTCCAGCAGAAGAAAAATAACCCCATATTGAAGGCCCGAGGTCAAGAAGGAAGAATAAGGAAAGAAACATTCAAATATGTGGGTAAATCTAAAGAAGATTGAGTGTTTAAATAATATTAACATATTGGTATCTGTAAATACACAAACACATTCAGATACACACGCACAATTAAAATGCTCATCAGGAAAACTGTGTAAGTAAAGAGAAATAAATGGAGTTAAAATATTATAAGACTATTTTATGGTCCAGGAAAATATAAAATCTCTATATATATTATACTTCAATAATTCAAGGATTCATTCTGTATCATCTGGGGTAACAAGTAAAAGAATGTGTAACCACCAAACAAATAAAGGGGGTGGGGTGGAATGGAATAATAAAAAAGCCTTCCCCAAAGAGACACAAAATGAGATTAAAGAAAAAGAGAGACTAAGGAACAGGAGGTATAAATAGAATAGTAAGTAATAAAATGTAGAAATAAATACAAATATATTGAATGACATTAAGCGTAAATAGAATAATGGTTCAAATGTAAAGTTAATAATTTTCAGGTTAAAAAAATACTGCTTCTCCAAAGAGATATACATATAAGGATACAGAGAGCTTGAAATGAAAAGATAGAAATAAATATACTATGCAAACACTAATCAAAAGGACCCTAATAAAAGAAAGCTATTGTGGTTATATTCATAATAGAAAATGTACACTTTTTATAAAGAAGGACCAACATTTCATAATGATGAGAATATTGTCATTGAGCACAGCAGAATTGAACTAGAAATCAAAATCATAAACATAATAAGATTTCCATAAATGTGGACATTGAACCATAAACTCCAATTAACCATGGCTTAAAATAATAATAGTAGAAATTAGAAACTATTTTGAGCTGAACGATAATTAAAATATTACTTATCACAACTTTCAAAATTACGTGTAGGGGGAAATTAATAGTGTTAAAGTCATGTATTAGAAAAGAAAATGCTACAGATCAATGACAAGGAATATAGTTCAATAATATTAGAAAAAGAACAACACGTTAAATGCAAGAAAATTAGCAAAAGGAAATATAAAACTAATATCAGATATTAAAGAAATAGAAAAACCATAATATAGAGTATCAGTATTAAGAAATTCCAAAGTAGTTTTTCAAAAGACAAAGAAGTTCATAAACTCTTGGAACGATAAATTAAAAAGAGAACGAAGGCAAAAATGAAAGTCAGGAATAAAGGGGAGAACATCATGACAGATTCTAAAGACTTTAAAATATCAGAAAGATATTGTAACAACTTTATAAAATATCTTTTTTAAAATACAGATGAAACGGACAAATTCCCAGAGGAAAATATGAAAATTGATGCAAGGAAAAATAAAGTTTAGGAAGGTATATTATTCCACTATGAAAAACTTTTCTATGAGTATCCATAACCAAATGGCTTCTCTCGTGAATTCTACAAAATTTTTAAAAAATCATGACAATACTATAAAATTCTTCCAGAGAATGGAAAAAAGAGATAATCACTTCCAAATTCATTCCATTAATTCCAATAATATAAAAGAAAATATAGCAATATTAAAAAGTTATTACATCATCATCAAGTGTTTTTATTGTAGGAATGAAATGATTATTCAGCATAAGAAAATCTAACAATGTAGTTTACCACAGTATCCGTGAGCAAGTTATTTCATCTTACAAAAAGTTTAGCTGTCCTTATTTAAAGTTTCACTTTCTTCATCTGTAAAATCAAGACCATAATAACTCATATATCATATGATTTTTATGAAGATTAAATAAATAATGCACGTAAAGTGCTTAGCACACGGCACACAGTAAACGCCCAACAAATCTCAGCTAACTTAGTAATATTTATTGTGTAAAGGTCATTTTTTGGACTTCCTTGCTTCTTCCATGGAATTCAGTATGGCAAAACAGACTTAGTACTCAATATATACATATTTATTTCTTATTCTTTACTGATTTGGGGGAAAACTTTTTATGATTTCTTACTTTATATCCTTATAGTATCTTAGTATTAAGTAAGGGAATTCAAACTAAATTAAGTGATATTTCAAAGTTACCAACTAGATATTTTATCATTTATATTCATAAATCGTATATTTTATTGTTTCATAATACAAATGTCTCTATCTCTAGCTAACTTTTATATACAACAGGTCTAGAGTGAATTGTATCTTTTAGTTTATCTAATGCAAGTTAAGATTATTTCCTATATTAAATATGTATTATGCCTAAATTAATACAGCTGTTTTTAGAAATTTCTAATTTAGATTTTTCTCTGAGGAAAACTTGCCTTCCCCACACATTTATCATTAAAAATGAATGAAAGTATCTTTTCCAAGTCTTCTCACTAAGCACTGAAAGCTAATTAGCTCATCTAGTTGTGATGCTTTTGTTTATTTTTTTATTCTTAGTGCTGACTGCTAGAGTAATAAAGTCTTTACTTGGATATAGCAACTAAAAAATATTTGCTATGTCTGATTAACTGACTTATGAATTTCAAATGTAATTATCTACAGATATTTACTAAAATTTTGAAGAAAGATTATCTTATACCAAATGATTGGCCCTGAAAACAGGCATATAAATTGAATTCTAATTACAGAAATGACAGATTTGAGTTGGCTTATTTACTCAGTCACAGTATAATCCATTTGAGATGTGACGCAGCCTATAAAAATAGATACAAAACCAGAGGATAATACAAATAATTGAAAGAATCATGGAAACAGAAAGAACAAAAGAAAATAAGATTGAGTGAGATGAATAGATATGGTCCTCTATTTCTGTTAGAAACTGGCCAAAAATGTGACTTGTTTTTTTTAAGCTCCAGTAAGCTGCTTATACAAAACCAATAGTAAGGTTCGGAGAGTACATGAAACTAAGGAGGATTTATTTCCCAAATCTCAATAAAGGGGATATTGGGTGATATTGCAGTCATCGCTATAAAAGATACAATAATTTTTGTCGTTATTTCTGTGTTCCTCAATCCAAAACCAAGAACAAGGCAGAGGCACAGCTGCATTAAAGCAAGTCCACGAAATCTAAACCAATATAGCTCAAGTGGGCTGCTCTCTGATTGTCTTTTTCCACGAAAAAGTATTAGAAATCTAGATAAAAGGATAGGTTGCACGTTTTTAGATAGTCCTCCATAAAGATTGCTACTCCAAATTAGACTTACTATTAAAAAGCAAAGAGTTTAAGGTTTTGTTTTCTGCTAAGAATCTAGAATGTAAATACTATGCTTTTGTCCGTAATGGCCCTCATATGCTTTGACAATCAATTAGGCAGAGTGAATTCATTATTTGCTCTCTTACTTGTTAACATAAATTCACATAATTATTACAGGAAAACTGAACATTAAAGCATTAGGATAATCTCATCTGTGAAAGCTAGAAAGAACTAGAAACTTTCGGTGACAGGAAAATAAGTGTACTTTAGGATAACAAACAAATTATCTTGGCTCAAAGTAAGACATAGAGAAGAAAAAAACGTTTGATAGAGTTTTGAAATGTCATAGGATACCACATGGATAAAGCATGACTGAAAAACCATAGTTATATTTTATGAAGAATGAATAGCTAATTTCATAATGATTTTCTTTGTGAAGAAAAATATATATAGTCATTCAAATAGAACTAGAAAAACTAAGAACTTATAAAATACATTTTTAACTTTAAAGAAAAAGACTTCAGTGTTAGTGAGTCCAGATTTGCAATTTATATTGTCTAATGCTAGAAAGAAAAACTAATAAATAACTAAATAATTTATTATCCAAATTAAGACACTTTTGAGAGTGAATTAATTCACTACTAAGAAGAAAGCTGGAAAAGGAGCTACAGACCCAGGCTAACTCGGGCAAATTGGAACGCATGGTCAGCTTACTTATAAATGTCCCTCAAAGGTACAAACTCAAGGCAGAACAATTACTCTCCCCCAAAAATCAACTCCATTCTTCAAGCTGCTTAATCAGAAGATGGTCAACCCTCTTATCTTTAACGAAAAATTGGTTAATATTAAATTTTAAAAATCGTGTTCTCAATTGTGAGTCACTGATACTGAATGTGGACCTTCCTTTCTCCTTGGAAAGAAAGGACAAACACGTCCTGAGGACAGAAGTACCAATTTATTGCCCAATGTTTTATCTTACCTGAGCTATATTCACTGCATTACGGATTCGCCCATCTTTCTCATGATCCTTTGTTCTCTGTAATGTTTGCCAGATTATGTTTCTAAGTCCATCCTGTTCCTCATCTCCCCGAAGTTCCCACAACATTTTCACCAGGTTATACACTAAGCCATAGTAGCCAGTCCATATCACTTGATCACCTGTTTGAAAAGAAATATTCTCTGAGAAAATGTCATTTTAGTCCTCTTATTAATGTATGGTTTTGTGAAAAAGAAGAAATTTGATTTTACTAATATTTTAAAGTCTAAAATTCTGAGTTTTGTAAGTTTTTTTTACTCTTCACTGCTTTTACTCCTTTAATTTTAAAAGATCACAAATTGTTTTAAAATTTCTAACCATATGAAAAGATGAACTACACCTAACTAATATCATACCTCATAAATTTAAAAGTTAAACAGACAAATTGTGAACTAAAAACAAATCTTTGGAATTTAAGGACAGAGGAATTTGTTCAAGGCAATATGAACACTTAGACCACTATGGTGAATTTTTATAATAAATCAGAGAAACAGAAGAAAAATCACTGGCTCTTATAAAAAACTATCAAACTCTATGAAACATGGCATTTGAATCAAAAAGCTAGCTTTGAAAATAATGGTAAAAGCAGATAAAAACTGCTGATATAATTATAGGCTGGAAGGTTTTTTTAAGAATAGAGACAAAACAATTGAAATAGGAGAAAGGGAGTAATGAATCCAGAAGATATTAGAAAAAAAGTCTAAGACACTGCTCCTTCTAAAATTTATATACCAATTAGCAATTTATATAAATTATCAAGTTCCACTTTCACAACATGCGTTTCCCTTAGAGAAAGGAAGAAGTTTCTCTTTACTCTTTATCTTAATTGTTTCTTACCTAGATGGCATATTGCTATGCAATACTATTCAGGAAAAGAGAATTCTCATTGAGATAGTGATGGGATAAATAAATTTGGAGAATGAAATAACACAGGTCTCAGAGGGGATATGAACTTCACTTAGCCGAAGAGCAACATGAGAGTACCGAGTATACGTGAAGCAGGTAAGCACAAGAGGAAAAAAATGTTCAGAAAGGGAGATGGAAGGATTTCAAAGCCAAATACATTCTGTATTGTACTTTTTCCCCAAATCCTGGTGATAGCTTGTGTGACATTGGAACTCATCGATGCTCTTCTTGAATAAAGATATAAGCACAATCTGAAAAGCTGCAGTCCTCAACTTTTTCTCATTGAACCTAGTTTTTTTATAATCCAAGCTAATACTAATAATCGTTACTATTATAACTAGA